AAGGCTGATTATTGGACTGACGTGTCGTCCTCCCCGATGTTGCACAGTGCTAACAGAGTAAGACATGGTTGGATTGGTTGGATTTGGGCTGAGACCTGAGGTTTTTGAACACTTGCAGTCTTGTTGACACACCTCTACTCCGGAAAGCTCACACTTTAAAAAAAAAAACAACAGCTAGTGCAAGGCCCTCCGCCGCCGTCCCTCCCCCAGAGTACGTTCAGCCCTGAGTCCAGAGAGGGCTCAAGTGTTGACGGCCCGAGTCTCCCCCAGTCCACGATTGTCCCGATCACGACGCAGAGCGTCCGAATGTGACATCATCACGTGGGTGTTAGAATCTGATCGTCTCTGCTTTTTCTCTTCAAGGTGTCGGAATAGCAAAGCTGAGAAACGATGGCTCAACATGTGTCTTTTGTCCGTCCTCATTTCAGTCCACCGATGACACTCGTGTTTGATGTGTGATTTTTTTCCATATATATATTTCTTATTTATAATATTTTTTACAAAGTATAAAACAGACCCGCAGACGTGACGATTTCATTGTTTTCAAAACGACGGGGGAGAGAGACGGGAGAGGAGACAGGGAGAGGTTCTCCAAAATCCAAAATAGTCACGTGATCTGTCCCTCGTGATCTGAGATGGGATTTTTTTTTAAAAGAGGAGGAACCCTTCTCCTGGTCCAGAGGTGGTTGAGGGAGGAGGAGGAGGAGGAGGAGAGGACGGGGGGAGGGCTCGACCATCGACGCCATTATGTCATTTGATGCGGTGCTTCTAGCATCTCCATGAGGAAGGTGTCGATGGGCGTGTCCCCGATGAGCTTAAAGAAGAACAAGTGCTCGAGACACTTGAGGCCGATGGAGCGCAGCGCTGGTAACCGCAGCAACAGCTTAGCGAACCTGTCACAACACAAGAGACAAACTGAGACAGGAAGGAAGGAGACGATCCAAACTACACAAACTACACAACACGTACACACACTAATTAATTACTGGATGATTTGACGGCTGAGACTGACTCGTGATTGGTCGACCTCGTGTAGGGACGGAACCTCGATACTGCAGCTCTTGTATTCGGGTTATTTTAGCTTTATTTTTACAGCAGGAGGAAGTTTCAGTTTGTTAAAATTCATCGACTATGACTCCTGACCTTGTTAAATATCTCGTGTTTCTATCTGCTGACTACCAACAGAACTTAAAATACCACAGCGTGACGTTCTTTTGTTACTTATGCTTCGTTAACGTTCCTGTGAATGAAACTCCCCCACAAACTCCTCATGAACAGCTGGCGTTCATCAGGCTGAAATAATCAATTCACGGCAAGTTTGCACGGCGAGGAGAGTCTGATGACTCTTGTACAAGCAAACCAGAGAAGTTGAGGGTAAAAGAACAAAATGTTCCTGAACGAAGCCGACTTTTTATTCAGACATTCAAAACGTCTCTTCATTCAAATATCCTCCTTAACTTGGTGAAATTACTTTTCTCATGAATCTAAAAAGGAAATTGAAGAGTTTTATTGAATGTGAAAGGATTTTAATCCACACAATCATCTTCGACATTTATAATCTGATAACTAGGTGAACTCAAATCTATTCTATTGATTAAACCGATTGTTTTTGTGGGTCCTTGAAGACGCAGCTGTCATTTGAAACTCTGAAAAGCTTGTGTGGATTGGAGGTTGGTGAGAATACGAGTCCTCCTCTTATCTAAAAATCTCCATGTGTGGATTCAATGGCTTTGCTCAGAGTCTGGGGATGTGCATGATCGTCTCTGTGTTTGTCTTCGTACCTGCCGGGCTGCTCGGGGTACTTCTGTTTGCAGTAGGCCTCTAATGACGCGTAGACTTTCTCTCTCAGGGCTTCCACCTCACCTGGGTTCGACAAACCTTTAGAGTCTGCGGAGACACAAAACGAGAATTTCAAACAACAGCCACAACGATCTTTGTCCTCTCTGTGGGAAGTTACAGAAAGATTCTTCTCTGCGCTGTTATAATCGAGTGCCTTGCTTATGGGCACCTCGCAAGACGCACTTACAAAATTGAGCTTTAACCTCTCGGGCTCGTTGTAGACGTGTGTCGCCACATTCTGGGTTAGTCCAATTAGGACTGTGGATTCAAAGCTGTGCGAATTCAGGCCTCAGTGGACGACTCATCTTTGATTAACAACACAAACACGTCACTGGTTAACATTTCTCGTGAACAAAGCTTTTACGCGATTGATCGACGGTGAATGAACATTTGTTGTCAATGGCTGCACTGGATCACACAGTGTGGGAAAGGGGAGGACCGGGGGCCTTTTTAGCCCTTTAGCCCTCGGCCTCCCCTCCTGCACCCCCACCCAGCGCTCCCTCGCTCAGACCGGTCTTGCGAACCCGTAATTAACAAGCCGAGAAGTGAACCGAGGCCAGTGGGCTCGGATGTGGCCGGGACAGAATGTGGAACACGGGGGGATCAGTGCGCGGGGGCCGCTGTGCGTCTGAGGGCCGGAGGGAGGCTCCCACATCGAGTCACAGCGACGGTTTGGTTTATTAAAGCCTGGTGCCATGTGGAGGAGGTCTGAACACCTAACAGACCTAAATGTGTTTAATACCTAATATTTGTATTTGAGAAAAGTCCAAAATAATAATGTTACGACCTTGCAGAAACCCATTTTCGTTCTTTTTGGTGGGACCGCATCAGTCAAACTCCAGTTCCCACTTCCCATGTTACACTAATGAGGTCAAGCTGAGTCACCACGACCAGACCTGAGAAGATTCTCCACCGATCTGAGCATCGACTCGCTTCATCAGGCCTGAGAGCTTCGTCTAAAACCCTCCTGGGATCTTGCAAAAAAATATCTGCTGTGGACAAGGCTAGATGTTTTCGGTACTTCTTTCTCCCACTGTTAAAAAATCCTCACCACCGGAATCGATTTTAAAACGAATTCGAGCTGCGTCACAGAGGAAGCAACACTTTTTAAAGTCGTATCTTAAGCCTTCTGGGAGGAGAGTGTTTGATTCTCTATATATATCCGGAGATTGTGTTGAGGATCACTTTAGGCTTAATGAGTCATATTCTATTCTCGTGATATCATCTGTTTTTACCTCATTATAACTGAGCTGCAGCTCACACAGACCTTGTGCTGTTGTGTGTTTACCTGCTTATTCTTGAGCTTCAAAGTAGAATAAGTCACAGGTCTATGGTTTACATACAGTGTTTTAAAACCACAGCAAATGAAAGCACACATACTGTTCAGTGATAGTTACCTGGATTGAAAAGGACTATAGCTCGAAGGCACCCCAGTTCTGTCTTATCCATCTGCATGTCCCTCATCTTAGACACCAGCTCTGTTAGCACTCTGCACAAAAAGAGATGAAAAACCCAACAACAGTCAGAGGTTTGGCTCATTTGAATTTAAACAGGAGAAATAGTTCAAGTGTGTTTTAATCCTTCTTGGCTACCGGCCTGTTTTCATGTTATATCACAGAAACAAACGAGCGCCAGAAAAGTTAAGATCACAGGAAACCATTTGCATCTAATTGGTACATTTCTTCATCCAGATCTAGACAGAGACATTAAAAATGTGTTTTAACTGCGATCCAGCTCAGATCTATTTAAAGATAAACACACACACACACACACACACACACACACACGTGTACTCACAGCCCACATAGGCACAGTTAGATCAGTGGAAAAGTTTACAAGGCTGCAAAGTAATTATATTTAGAACATGGTTTTCATAAAGGGAAAGCCGCAGAGTAAACACACGCTGTAATCGAACACCAGCACTCCCACTGTCTGCGTGTGACATCACTGGGGGGAGTGTCGGCACTCGAACTCCTCACCCCTCTTTGACTCGGTCACACCCTCTCCCCGCCGCTCGCTCTCTATTTCCTTCTCCCTCCGTCCTCCCCCCTCTCAGATAGTAAAGTCAATTGTGGCTCTTTGCTCATTCTAATTCAATTTGCTCTGAGGAAGAACAACAGGCCTGGAAAAAAAAAAAAAAAAGAAAGAAAGAGAGAGAGAAAGAAAAAGAGAAGACTCAAGTGTTTAAGCTAATCAGGCTCTTCATTTGTATGGTGAAGAGAGAGGGGAGTAGATAAAAGAACATTATCAGTTCTCTGTATCTTAATGCTCGCCACAGTTAATGCAGAGACGGAACATGTCCTGTGGCAGCGAACGCCAACGAGCGAGTGATCAGAGGAGCAGGAGAAGAGAGGAGAAGAGGAGGCAGACACTCGGAGATAGGCTGCAGCGAGAGTGGATGTGATGACGCCACCTGTTCCTGCCAAGTCTCCGTCTGAGGGGGAACGAACGCCAGACTTAATGTGTTATTGCTTTTATAACTTTCAAACTGTCAATAACAGTCACCAGAGTGGTTCCTGAACGCACCTCACCACGTTCTGTGTGTGACCCCTGATGCATTCAGCTGTACATATTTAATACGAGGAGGCAACCGATAGCTCCTGTTCTGCTGTGCCTTCCATGAAGAACACTCCAAAGGTCACACGAGTCAAAATTAAACCCCGCTGCAGAGGTGATTTCTGGGAAAAGATGATGACGCTGGTATCAGTATTAAAACATCTCTAATTATAAGTCATGCTTGATCACCGGCCCCTTGTTTCTCTGACTGATAAAACCTTCATGACCAAAACGTTGACGATTTATTGACATCAGCAGAAGCCTTTCATCAACACTTACAAAATACATACAAGTAGAACCAGCATTCTTTCTGAGTACAAGTTTGAATTAATTATCACATTTGTAATCCTTTATTGATCAGTAGTTAATATTGATACAGTCGCTGAGTCTGAATACCCTTTAAGGCTGCGTCAGTTTCAAATGATTTAACCGCCCGCACGCTTCCGTAAGAGGGCAGCGCAGAGTCGAGAGTTTCTGACAACAACCAAAATGTCGACGGAGGAGGTTGCGATAATCTTCCTTTTAAGAAAAAGGCCGACACAATCTACGATGGCACTGCTCTTTTTGTTTGTTTTATCTGTAAGACTTTGTAAGACACACGTACAAAATGAAAGACAGTGGCGCCCACAGTTTGCACACGGTTACTTCCAAGTGAAGGAAAGTGCAATATATGGTGATAATGACCTGTCAAAGATGGCGCCCACGCCGGCACTATGGGCGCTGTTGCGGTGCACGTGCAGCCCGGTTGCCAACAGGATCCCGTCTTTCACTGCTATCGAACGGTGCGAAAATGATGCAATGAGGAGCTCGTTCCAACCTGAGGGAGAGATGGGGGGGGGATCGAGGAAAAAGCATGAGGAGTAGAAAAAAAAAGAAGCAAATCCCAGTACAGAAGTTCACACAGCATTCAAGCAAAATGAAACTGACAACAAAGGGTGGGGAATTTCGATGAATCAATTAGGCTGTGCGGTAAAAAGCGTGCAGCTCTCTCAAGCACAGGCATCAGGATATTACTAAGACATTCGAGTCATGCTTTCTGAGGGACAAGCGTGTAAAAGGGATGAACTGCGGCTGCCATCGCAATAAAGACAACGGGCTTGATGTGCCAAAGCAGGGGCCTGACACAGCGAGCACCGAAGACACAAGACGGCGCCTTTTGAGTGACAGGGCTCCTTTAACTGTTCTGCCTGGCAACACTTGCCTCCTCTCCCCAGAGTTGAGTTGGGAATGAGAGGAGCCGGGATGCTTTTATCTGCGATACAGCAGAACTAAAGCGGTTATTTATAGAAAACCTGAGAGCCGAGAAGAGACGAGCTCCTCAGAATAACGTCTCTCTCTGCTCGGCGGAAGTCTCTCCATCAGTGTATGTGCCACAGATAAGAAATGATGGGATGGGTGTGTAATAGCATCTTTTTTTTTTTTCCCTCCCAGAGGTGGATTTGGAATATTATGGTGTAATTTGGGGCGACAGGCAGACAACAAGGTTCAATGTGTTGGGAGAACCCAGAAGACCTTCCTGCGTGTGATGTGGGTGAATGTAACAGAGGTGACAGATGATTCACTCTCTGCTTTACGTTGCTGCTTCTGTGATCCTGAGCGGTTAACTTGCTTTTCCACATATTGCAGATATGCCCAATGAGCCGCTCTGACCTTGGTGGGTCTGACGTTCGTCTCACATGACCAAGAGAGTTATTCACCGAATTAGTTTCTGCTTCGCTTGGATTTTTTTCTACCCGGATACAGACGGAGATGCTGTTTGTTTTCTCTCGGAACATTTAATTCATCAGCTAAAATGCTTGTTTTTCTGATGTGCATGATCAAGTTTCTGTTTATTTTTACTTTATTTGAAGGGAGGAAAAATCTTGTACCATGTATTCATATCTCTCAGCTAGGGGTCATCTTGAAAGGGTCATCCACATTGTTTCTGCATCACACACAAGTCTGAGAACTCTTTTAAGGCCTTCTTGACTGACCTGCTCGTAGAAGGATGACCTGGTCGTCCAGCGGCAGCTCGGAGAAATGTGGGATCCTCTTGGCCCACTCCACCAGGGTGAAGAGTTGTTTGTCAGCCGCTTGACAGATATTTGTCACTGGATCGTTGGGCTGTTGGGGAGCAGAGAGACAAGCAGACACCAATGTGGAAGTTAGATATCCAGGTACTGCATAAAATGAATGGGAGTCTTTGTTTTTATCTTGTCACTCTTGGCAGAGGTGTCATGTTGAGCAACCTAACACCACCCCCCCCCCCCTTTTTTACAACTCATGCTTACATGAGCGCTGTGAATAATGTCTGAAGAGGAGCGAGTGGGAAGACAAAACAAACTGTGAGTCTGTCCAAGCTTGTGGAGGAAATACCTGCAGAGAGCGGCCGGTGAAAAAACAACTCTCACTCAGCGGACGCTTTCTTTGGGGACCTTTTAGCCGTCGCACAAATCAGTCTCTTGGACAGCGAGCGGAGCTGGAGACGCCCTCCTGACAATCTACTGACACTTCAACACTGCGCTTAATGTTTAAATGAGACAATCACCAGACCAGGCTTCGTAAAAATAATACGCAAATGATTGTGTGTGATGATTATTAATGTTTACTCTTTAAATAATGATCGAACTCAACGAGAAAAAACTATTTCTCCATCGAGAATTCATATAAATTCATGGCTGTAGCTTTTAAAAATGTTTTTAATAGACTGATGTTCATTTCTGTGTGTAAAAGAATTTCACTGGAATCTGATTTATGATCGTTTGTCAATTAGATGGAAACACTGACTAATTCCCCTGTAAAAGAAAACATCCAGGTGAGTTTAGAAACGCTATAATCCTTTATTGATTTCCCTTCATTAGACGTACTAAGGAAGGAGACGTCTTGAGGAAACATGAGCATAAAAGCTGAGGAACGGCTGAGGATGGATGTTGCAGCTACAGGGATATGGAAACATCTGATATTTTGGTAATTAGGGTCTAAAACATGTTTTCTGAGATCTTTTATTACCATTTCCATCTGTGATGTCAGTCTAGTTGGGCTGAATTATAGCCGTTATATATTTAGTCCTTCTTTTCATTTTCTTGTATTTCTCAGAAATACATTTTACAAAATAAAAAAAAACTGCACTTATGTAAAACGTGAAACATAATTTGCAGGTCAGGTTTTCGCAATCTCTACTTTCCCTTCACAAAAATAAAAGAAGTATGAGCCAAGTGTCCTAAATATGAGCTACACTGCTGAATATTAGAACTTTTCCTGTATAGATAATGATTTCTGTGTGCACCACCAGCCTCAGCACCAGTTCAAACACAAGGACTGTCTGTCCTTAACTGTCCTGATGCATCAGATTGGGGAACATTATTTTTTAACCCACAGGGAGTTTACCAGCAGTGGTGGAATACTAATGCACCACACATACAGTATGACTGGCTCAGTGCAATGTAAATCCCTCTGTGCAAGGAGGGGAAGAAAATCTTAAACAACACCGGCAATCTAGTAATCTAGCATCGTCCCCGGAGGGCATACCCTTGACATGTTTGTCAGTAAACAAAGAGTTTCAGCACATGCGTCTGTGCATAATTTCAAATCAAGTAAACATCCTTAAATTCTAAGTATCCCTGTGTGAACTCGAGACTTTGACAAAAACAGTGAGCAACTTCTCCCCAACTTCCCCTTCGCCAAATCCCACCGATCGATGCTAAAAGCTCGGAGGATCCCGACATCAACTGCAGCTCTCAGGAGAAGATCAGTTCAAGATGAAGGGGAAAACATCCCTCCACTCACACTCTTCCTTTTATAATGTGCGGGCCAGAGACTATCCCATCCTCTCCTCCACGTTCTCCTCCCTGCGGTTTGAACCTCGTGCTGACTGCAGAGTATCACAGTTATGCAGCTGAAATATGAAAAACTTAAACCAGACACAAAGCCTACACTGTTTTGAAAACTGAAAGTAGTCTCTCTTTTTTTTTTTTCTTCAGGGGAAGAAAGAAAACAGGCATCTTATGAATATTTCAGCATCTGATCTCCGTGGGAGACGTGGACGGGCACAGCCCAACGCAACAGTTTTCGTGAGCCGTGCTTCCTCTCAAAAAAACACATAAACAGACGACGCTAAATCATTGCAAAGGGCAACCCGAGCCAAAACAAAGAAAAACAAAAAGGGGCTTCAACGTGCGTCACGGTCGAGTCACCCCTCCTCATACGAATACAAGTCCCAGGGTTCTCGTTAAACACGACAAGCCTCATGAATGTTGTATGACTATCTTAGCCGTGTTTACACTGACCTGGTTTCTTTGCCTCTGTCTGTAGAGATGACAGGGGAGAGGCGCTTACACTTTCCTGCAACAATCCTCCGGCATCGCATTACTGTACTTAGTGTTCGTGTTACAGAGCAGCATTTAGCTTGTCGTCGAGCCACAATGGAGGAGCCCAACGTGACCTGTGATGGTACGACATTAACCTCCGTGTGTGAAGGGACAAAAGTCCACCTGGGAATTCCTCACAGATCCACTGGAAGGAGCCTCTTCCGTGACCTTCACTGTGGGACTGGGAACGTGACGCAAACACGCTTGGACAGAAACGAGACCAACCGAATGTAAGAGGAGATATTTTAAGTTACTGGATTTATTTTCTGGATGCCAGACACAAACAACTGCTGTCGTCACTCCCGGCCAATCGCAGAGTTTATAGCACACTCCCCCGATGTGGTCGATCATCCTAATTTAGAGAAATGCCAGGCTTACATACTGTCCTATGAAATTTTCATCACTTGAGGAGGGGGAGACGAAAAATTTGCCTTTCAATTTTTCATTATTCTGCTAGACCCAGACTATACTAGCGTGACAACGGAGAGAAAATTGGGTACGCGTGAGCATGAGAATGAGTTACTCAAGTGCCCCACTTTTTTTTTTTTAGACTGAGGAAAGAAACTGTCCTCATACGTTGGCATGGGGATGAATCATCAACTAATTATCTTCTAAACAACAGCAATGCTCCCTCGTTTTACAAAATATAAGAAACTGAACCTTTATATAAATTGATGCATGGAGGGCAAATAAGTCTTCCAGAAATAAAAGTACAAACAATTCAGAGTAAAGTAACTTCCCCGGGGATCAGTGATAGCATCCCCCCCCCCCTCCTTAAGAAAAAGAGCTCTCCTACTCTGATTGAAGGCACATTACTAACGCCTGTTTAACTCCTGTTCTAGGTCACCATGAGATAAACACACTTTATTCAGCTTGGCCAGACCCCAGTCATTAGACAGTGGCGGTGGCCTATTCATGTTGTACACTGATGGCCTGGGCCCTGTGATTAATTATAGCACGGGGCAGCGCCTCTCAATGGAGACCTCGCGGAGGAGGGGCTGAGGCAGGGGGACGAGATTCTGAGAGAAAGGGGAAGCCCTCGCGGTCAGGTCAGGCTACAGCCCAGGCTCCACTTCTGCTGCAGCATCAGGTCAATCAAATAAAGGAGAAATCAAATCAAATGTACATTGTTGCTCACTCGTGTTCGTATCTGCTCTTGCTAACAGAAGTTACATTTACACTGGGGCTGGTTTGTTATTTGGGATTTCGCACAAACTACCAAATAGATGACTTGGTGAAAGGATGCAGTATGGTTCATTGAAGAACACATTCAGTTTTGGTGTGGCTCCAGATCAGGGGTGAAAGTCTTTCTTAACATCGCAAGATTGATTTCTTTGCAGTTTTGTGCAGATCCAAATAAAAAGATAAAAATCCAGATCTAGTGAATTTAAATGTGGTTTCATAAGGAGACTGTCGGGCCTTGGCAGAGGTGTGAGCTCTGCTGGGTGTCATTCCAGTTATGATTTATGTTTTTTTCAAGATGTATTTTTCCAACTTTCCCTCCAACTTGGAATAGCTGCTGTCGTCGCTGTAGCTCTGCTGCTTGTATCCAATATGATGCATTATACTGCTACCTCTACCCACCTGCCAGGGCTGCACATCAGTCTGCGCTGCACCAACATTCAATAACCCATAATGACAAAGAGAAATCATGTCTTCAGATGTTTGTTCTTATCAAAATTAAAAACTGTAAATCTCATTTTACAAAAGTAGTCGGACTTCGCACAAAATCTTTTGGCAGCAATCACAGCCCGGAGTCTCTGTGGATAATTCTCTTCAAACTTTGCACACCTGCTGGGGCAGTTTATCCCAAATCTTTCAGACAGAGCTCCGTCAGACTGGATGAGAAGTGTCTGTCTGCAAACTGCCAACTTCAGGCCTCACCACACATGTTCTAAGTCTGGTCAACTCAAGGACGGTTAAGAGAATTGTCCTAAAGCCACATCAGGGGCGGTTGAGATAATCAGCTTCTGGCAGGTTGTTCCATAACTACAGACAATTTTGGTATTCTCCCTGACCAAGGCCTTTCTTACCAAGTTACTCTGGAACAGCTCTGGTCTTTCTGTTTTACAATAATTGAGAACAGTTAAGAGTTCAGACATGGTTTTAGGCTCTTGCATTGATCCATTCCTCATCCTGGTTTTATTGTTATAGAATTGTTTTGTTTTTTGGTCTTGATGTGTGAGTTTTGTTCAGTCCCTTCAATTTGCCAATGACGGACTCGATTCTCAAAGAACATCAAAGCCAATAAAACTGATTCCGATTGATTCCACTTTATGTTGATCAACCTTAAAGTTCTGTGAAGACGAAAGTGGTGTTTCCATCTCCTCTGTATTCCTTCAGCAAACCTCTTCTTCTTGGTGTCAGGCAGACAGTGGGCATCGAGGGACCCACTGTGGCTGAGCTCAAACACACTCAGTGCATTAGTGTGTCTGGGCTGCTGGCAGCCTCCCCCTTTACTCCCTCCACCTAATGTCAACGCTCATCTCCTACATTTCCATCTGGCCCCCTGAATATAGCTCCCATTTACTCACATAACAGCTTTCACATTTCTACCTTTACTTCACAGGACATTTCCCTCCCCTGAAGCAGACGGATCCCAGAAGAAGCCCTCCCCTCTTTCTCTCCCTCCTTCAGTCTCACCCTCTGTAACTCCCCCCCCCCCCCCCCCCCCCCCTCCACCTGTTTTGGTAGGACGATGCACAGTTCCTCTGTTTCTCATGTTCCAGCAGAATTACTGAGAAAGCTGAGGCTTTGCGGGATGCTTTCAGGAATAGTCTGTCTGTTGCATTATTCATCACTCTTAGTCTCCTCTGTGTCAAAGACAGCCCACAGTGCCCAGATGATACTGAGGGGACAGATGCGGGAACTCGTTGCTGAGAGAAAGAGCCAATACGAGGTGAACAGGTAAACCGGCGCTGGAGACCAGAAGCAGCCGTCTCCAAAGGGACCAAAAAAGAGGGGACAAACAGTACGAATATCTGAGGCTCATCACCATCTCTGCACGCAGGCAACAGGATGTCAGCTTTTGAATACTCAATAAAAAGAAGTCTGATAAAAGTTTACTGTTTTAAGAACATTTTTCTATTGAAAAATTACTTAAGTAAGTTTAATCTGTGTACTGACAAATCCGACTTTATGCATTATATGTAAATGACAGCATAGAAAGTTTTAGCTGTGAATCCTGAACTGTGTCAAAACTAACAGAGCTCTTCGTAGTAAACCAAAATAAACCAAAAACTCTATAAAGCAAAAACTAATACCAATGATAATAAAGAATAAAGAGAATGAAGGAATTCAGATCTTCTTGAATCACAAGCAAGGGCCAAGAACAACTCTCTGTGGACTCAACAGTTCGACGCAGAAACGAGATACTGTCCAGGAACTGCTTGCAGCTGGAAGAAACTAAAGTAAATTGTGGACAATGGTAAGTCAATAATTTTGGAAACCAAAAGAATCAAAGCAGGAGCCATCAAACTGAAAACATTTAGTTTTTACTGGCAGGGGCTTTGGACACAGTTAAAGTTTCACTGCCAAAAGTTCTACATCAACACATCAACGTGTAGTTTGGTCATATTGACAACAAAAATAGTCTACCAATACTACAGTGAGCATAATAGTATTAATAATAATGTTGAATAGTAGCCATTTGCAATAAATAAATGAGACTAATGATTCTCCCCGCCAGCTCCTGCATGTCTACTGTGTTTCCTGAATAATGCATAGAACTGCAGACTCACCGAGTTAGACGGCACACCAAGGTTGGTCTCAATGTAGGTCTCCGTCTTGGGTTCCACCGCCTGCTCGGCCTCCAGGATCTTCTCCACGGGCATGTCCTCATTGGCGCAGGTGGTGGACTCCACCTCGCTCTCACTCTTCTCCTTGGCTCGCTGGCGCTCCTCCTGAACGGCTGCATGTAACAAAACTGGTTCCGGTCACTACTGCTGTTTTTTGTTTTGTTTTATTTACACTGTCAATGTGTTCCAGGGCACTTGTTGTAAAGGTTCAGTGTGTAAGATAAAGGTGAAAGGGATCTATTACATAATCCTGGAGATGTTTTAACTTGTGTTGAATCATTTAAATAGTACGAATTGTGGTTAGCCCAAACTGGACAAACAAAACACCTTTTGAGTTTTTATGAAAATTGAAGCTACCACAGGTTTTCTGTCACCTCACTAAATTCCACACACTGAACCTTTAAAAGAAAGATTCAGGATTGTAAGAATGATGGTTTGTCAGCTTCTAGTTCAATTAATTTATTTAATGTATGAATGTATTTGTAGTAAAGTGGTCCTAAAATGTTAAATCTGTTTTATGTTGAGAAATGATCAACAGACTTGTGGTAATATGAATATTGAATTGCAAAAATGCTCTTTGTTTTAGCAATTAGCATGTTCGCAATCGTAATTTGGTAATGTGTCACTAATGCAAGTGCATTCGCACAAGTTTATTGATAATCCTTAGCCAATGAATAGCAATATCTAAATTTCAGAAAGTCATTTTGTATATTTTCTGTAAAAGTCAAAAATATGCACATGAGCCAATACGGTGAAATTATTCCAGTCACTTCTGTTTATTTTTTACAAATAACTGCCCTGGAAACCACCATGATAAGATTATCTTTTCTTCCCCGGAGGGAGAAACAGCGCGCTTGATAAAAGTGAGATGAAATGACTTGATTAGCTTGATTATTGTTTTGCAATAGAGATGTAATAGTATGCAGAGCATCCTGCAAAACTGAATCTTCCCTTTAAGTGCTTGAATTCTTGCAAATGCATATTGCTTCTATGCTCACACACACATATGTACAATGTACGTGCATGCTTGACTGTGTATTTTCTTGCCCATGTCGAGAGCCTGCATGCATGAGTGGCTGCTTCAGTCGTTGTGTCCTGGTGAGGCAGTGAATAGTGCATGACCCTGTATGTATTATGCCAGTAAACATATACAGAAGTGTTCAATCATAAATAATTGCTTCGACAATGCAGATGGAATATATTTAGGACCTCAAACCCACATTATGCACAACACAGCAGCGTGGAAATGTTCAAGGAGTTCAATTGGTACCTTATCAAAGAAACATGTTTTTCATGTAGTGCTCAATGACCAACAGCCTCCTCCTTTTTAGACACAAATCATTTACAGACACATAAATAATGAATGGGTTGTCACTCCTTCCTGATGCCACGTGTGATCACCAGAACATCTTAAACTGAAATTACCGCCTCATGATTGTCTGTCTCCGCCGACGAGTCAAGTTGCAGTTTAAATT